GATTCACGTCGTTTATAACTGGAATATTATTATTATTAACTTTGTCTGTACAAAGTAGCCTGTCCAGGAAATATGCCCAAATCAACAAAGCCGGCAGGCAAGACGCTCCGCTTCTGAAATGCTTCTGAAACGCGCCCGGTGGGTTATTACGCTAGGGGAGGTCGGACCAAAACCGCAGCGCAGCCGTAACGCGGCGCAGACGGACCCGGTGGAAACTAGGTGTGCCCAGCACTTAGTACCCCTATGGAACTAAGTACAGATCGCGTTCACACAGGAATAAGTTCCCTGAGGGAAGATCACTTAAATGAATCCGCTGACGTCACTTCTTCTGCTTTGGGTTTACTGGCAGGCCGGTAACAACTTCAGGCGTATACTGCCACCAGCAGTCCCCGGAGTTGGGACTGGCTTCTACTGAAGCCTTCCGAGTAAATCTCCAGAAACCCGACACCTCCTCATCTCCACCGCTCCCATTTTTTTTTTGTGTTGCCATGAGTTATTCTGTCTCCGTTGGTGCGCAGGGCTAATGCTAATAATGCTAATGCCAGCAAATACAGTGGCGGCTTCACAAAACTTTTCAGAGTTTTACGGGGCGTGGTTTGCAATTCGCCCAGCCAATCAGAAATTGGTACTTTTTTCTCCCCAGGCTAGCAGGCACTAAAAAGGGGGTAAAAGTTATTTGAACAAAGTTCTCTTTTTGGTGTGAACGCAAAATTCTAGGAACTATCGGAACTAAACGGTAAAAGTACGGATAAAAGTACTCCGGTGTGAAAGCGCCTAATATACTTCTGCATTGTGAAGCTGGAAAAAGTAGTTTAAAGTTTGTGTAAGAGGAATAGTTACTTATTTGATTGTGTGCTTGCCTCTTTATGTAATCTGCTAGTCTACTGAATGTACCTGCACCCTCTCTTGCTTGTAACACTTTGGTGTGACGAACTAAGGATTTCTAATCCATGTTCCTGTTGCAGGTGGTCGTTTCCACGGCGATCTCCGGCCCTCTGCATCTTCCTGAGAAATATCACATGGACATAGTGGGAGAAATCCCTCTGGGGTAAAGCAATCAATGCATCTTCTATTAAATGACCTGTGCAGCTCATATTTCCTGCAGATTCGGTTTTTTTTCGGATATTTTCCACTTTTAACTGAGAATTCGATTTTTTTCTCATATATTGACTTTTTTCTCCGAATTCCAACTTTTTTCCTCAGAATTCAGATTTCTCACTTATTTCTAAGATTTTGCCTTTTTTCTTTTCAGAATTAGACTTTTTTTCATTTTTCTCGGGATTCAGATTTTTCTCTCATATTTTTACTTTTTTTTTTAGATTATTACTTTTTTCTCAGATTTCGACTTTCAACTGAGAATTAGATTTTTTTTCAGAAATAGATTTTTTGTCTCTGATATTGAATTTTTTCTTATTTAACTAATATTTACTACAGATGTTTCTTTGTTCTGCAGGTTCCCAGCCCCCATCCTCCCTAAAGTGAGTCAGTGGGAGGAGATGCTGGGCACGGCCTTCTCTCTCGCTGTGGTCGGGTACGTCATTAATCTCGCCATGGGACGCACTCTGGCTGCAAAGCACGGATATGACGTGGACCCCAACCAGGTGGGAAAACTACTACTCATTAAATGAAATCAAACTTTATTAATGTAGCACTTTTCATACTCAAAGTGCCTCACAAACAAAAAATTACCCGTCCCCCAAAACTCCCCATTGCCAGGTAATAAATAACAACTAATCAATGATCACGTGATCGATAAACACACTTAAAACCGAAGAGAAATCAACAAACATAGGTCTGAATCAAATAAGAATACAAAATAATAACAAAATAATAATGAAAAAATAATAATTAAAAATTAAGAATACCATTTTTTTTTAATAAAACAAGAATAAAAAGTAAAATAAGAATATAACAATCATTTCAGATAAGAATAAATAAACAATTTAAAATAAGAATAACAAAATAAATAAAAATAGTCAAATAAGAATAAAATACAAATAAAAAAAGAAGAATAAAAAAATATTTAAAATACAAAAAATATTTTTTATAATAAAAACAATTCGATTAAAACCCATCTATCTCTCTGAACCCCAAAGCTACAAGTTCCATATGTGTGTTTATTTGAATCTTTGTGAACACATCTTGCGTGTTGTTGAGCAGGAGATGCTGGCTCTGGGCTGCAGTAACTTCCTGGGCTCCTTCTTTAAGATCCATGTGATCTGCTGCGCTCTCTCTGTGACGCTGGCTGTGGACAGCGCAGGGGGAACATCACAGGTGATTCATTTTAATAAATACATATATGTACAATATATATATGGTAAATGACAGACTCCGTGACCCTTTTCCAACTTATTATTTGTCTTGCATGCAGAATAATGCATCTTTTCAAGCGATACAAATGACTGTTGAGTTAAATATACACACCTTTGTTTGGTGTGCAGAGTGTATGGAATTAGAGTCATAGCTACTGTATGTGAAAATGTCTTTATATGCTAAGAGCTACTAAAATACTGTATGTTAAAGTCTGGTGACTTCGAAACTAGGTACTCTACTTTGTAATCAAAGTACTAAATTGTGCTGTAATTTCCACTTTCCACATATCTGTCGACATATAATTAGGTTAGTTAGATCTCAGGTTACTGTTAGGTGTATTATTGGTTGTTAATGTTTCTTTTTACATAGATTTGAATCTGCATTTCTGCAATTTGTCTTATTGAATTTGAATCATAACTGTTTGTGAATAAACTGAGCTTGAGGTCATGTATTGTGTGTATTTCCTGACAGAAAGCATGCACTATAAGACCATAACAGCTGCTAACCTCTGCTCCTGCGTCTCTCCTCTCTCAGTTTGCCAGTCTGTGTGTGATGCTGGTTGTCATGGTGACCATGCTATCACTGGGAGCCTTCCTGAAGCCTCTTCCCAAGGTAAGACCACAGAGGAGCAAGATAACGTTTTGACATCTTGTTGCTTTTATTATAGAAATGTAATTATTAGGATAAACCCCCTTGAGATGCACCATCTGGTTTTCAAGGGGGTCCCGACAAAAGCAACGTCTTACAGACATACATGAACTAAATAGCAGAAAGCAAAGCATGACAAACCACGTACAGTCTGTTAAAAAAATTCATGAAGTAATGGGGCGAAGCCTGTGAGCTAGTTCAGGCAGTCAGCTCGAGCACCAATGATACATTAACACGTGATGCGTCTCTCTTACAACCAACCAAACACAATCTCCGTAACATGCCGCTCTATTTAAGCTGCTAGGTCTGCTGCCTCTGCCTCGCTACGCTGAGGAGCTGTCACATTGCTGATGCGTTCACGTGCTGCTTGCCTGCACCACCACCACCCCAGCTTCCACCCCAGCTTCCACCCCAGCTTCCACCCCAGCTTCCACCCCAGCTTCCACCCCAGCTTCCACCCCAGCTTCCACCCCAGCTTCCACCCCACCACCACCCCAGCTTCCACCCCAGCTTCCATCCCAGCTTCCACCCCAGCTTCCACCCCAGCTTCCACCCCACCACCACCCCAGCTTCCACCTCAGCTTCCATCCCAGCTTCCACCTCAGCTTCCACCCCAGCTTCCACCCCAGCTTCCACCCCAGCTCCACCCCAGCTTCCACCTCAGTTTCCACCTCAGTTTCCACCCCAGCTCCACCCCACCACCACCCCAG